TGTTAAATTTAATGATGACCTCTTTAAAATCTCACACAGTATAAGCAAGCCTCGAGGTCCTTTTTAAGTAACGATCTTGTGTCTTGGAGGGTAATGACCCTATGTCTTGGAGGGCACTACAAACAACTCTTAAAACTTTTCTAGCTCTCGTAGGGGAATAAAGACAACAGCTCTTTGTCTTGGGAAGCTACACATGTCATTGGTTTACGTGAAATTAAAAATACTGGTAAAGCAAGGTCAAGATTCCAAACCAATAATGCACAGGCATGAAAAAACAAGAAAAGAGATTTTATGATCCATCACGAAGATACTCCCTCAAATAAACATCATATTTTATATATTTAAAATTTTATTTTTTAAATATATTCTTATACTACACCTTCTTTAAAAAGTTAAGATTTCGTAAGGTCCTTATCTTGAGGGAGTAGTTCTACAATTTTGTCCCGCGGGAGCATGTACCGAACGTTTGTCTTTCCACCACGTACGTGCATTATTGGGTAAGATTTGTCATTCCCACCAGGTACATGCATTATTGCATAAGGCCCACGTGTTCTGCGATTTAACTATTTACTTCTTTTTCAACAAATCCAATCAATGATTAGAAACCATTAATACACATGAATGAAAAAAAAGTAAAGAGATTTTATGATCCATCACGAACATACTTCCTTAAATAAACATCATGTAAACTATTGTACATGTTTAAAAATTTAAAATTTCACTTTTATTTTTTAAATATATTTTTACCCTATATTGTTTTTAAAAAACAATCTAAAGTCCTTAGCTTGAGGGAGTAGTGCTACAATTTGTTCCTACGGGAGCATCTAGAGAACATTTGTCATTCCCATCGTACATGGATTTAGTGCATTTATTGGGTGGGATCCATGTGTCCAATCCCAAATGTTAAATTATGTAAAAATTATCATACGAGTTTCATGATATTACCATTGTCACTAGTTAGGGGTAAAATGCATCATATTCTTATATAGGGTGGCAACAAAATCATCTTGCTCTAACTTGTTCCGATGTTGGTTCATTCTCTAGTCTTGAATCAACGAATTAGTCCTCCATTTATATATATAGTTCAACAAGACTCCAATGCAAACTACAAATGAACACACAAGTTTGCACTAAAAAAAAGAATGTTGGTTCATTCTAATCAACGAATTAGTCCTCCATTTATATATATAGTTCAACAAGACTCCAATACAAACTACAAATGAACACACAAGTTTGCACTAAAAAAAAGAAAAAACTAGAAATGTACACCTGCAACAATGGAACAGGTTCCATCAATACAAATTCACAAAAACAACAAAATCTAAATTACATCTGACCTAAGATAGATGATTGACTATAATTGGTCACAATATAATTTTAGAGAGAGAGAGATTACAAGTCTCTAAGCTGGTGAAGGTTCATGGGTGAGATGTATTTAGTTGGACCATTAATAAGTTGTTTGGCTATTATGAGATTGGCAGCCTCACTTGGGTGATATGGATCCTAAAACACATATTTGGATCTATCTGAACATAAGGAAGAAGTTGGCCTACAAGGAATGATACCTGCAAAATTATTTTATACGGGCTGGAAGAAAATTATTTTATACGGGCTGGATGGATGCAAGCAGGTGTTTCATCTAATAAAAATAAAAATAAAAATAACTGTCCAAATGTTTTTTACTAAAATTATTATTTATAGTTTTAAAATTTTATTTATTTATTTTATATTAATGATTTCCATGTTAGAGATTATATATATTTAAAAATTAAATCTAAAATTCCATCTCAAAAATAGATTTTTTAAGAGGCCCCATTTCTACATATGCGAGCTTGGCCGCATAGAAACCGGATCAATTTCAAAACTACCATAATTTTCATCAATGTTGGGTCAGGATTCCAAACCATAAATACATGGGCATGAAAACAAGTAAAGAGATTTTAGTATCCATCACGAACATACTCCCTCAAATAAACATCATATTTCATGCGTTTAAAATTTTAAAATTTCACTTTTATTTTTTAAAATATATTCTTATCCTACACTTTTAAAAAAAAACTAAGGATTAGTAAGTCGTTTATCTTGAGGGAGTATAGCTACAATTTGCTCCTGCGGGTGCATATGCACAGCGTTTATCATTCCCACCTTCCAACTATTGCATTTATTGGGTAGCGCTACTACAATCCACATGAAATGAAGCTGATTTCATGTTTTACCCCAAACCCATTTTTACCTGCTTATTTTGCTGTCAAATTGTTCCCTCATATTGTTCGAAACTACTTTATACTGAATTGAGGTTCCAAGAAAGCGCAAGACCATCAAGATTATTTTTAAGAAGATAATAAAAAACTTCCAATTTATAATTATTAAGCAATATAATTGATAATTTTTTTAAAATGAATTTCACACGAGTAGGGAGCACAAAATAGGGGCACCACAAAAATTTGTACTTTAAAATAATGACACAAGTTGCACCAGTAACACAAAATAGTGCAACTACAAAAATGACACCTTGTACTGTTCTAAAGAGCAATTTACTAAATATTATTATCGAAGGAATGTCAACCTTGAATCTTAGTGAATTGTTATTCTTTTATAAGTATAATATGAACTTATCAATATAATTATAAAGTTACTCGATTAGGGCTCAATATAAATTACATAGGTTGTTCTTACATGTTCTTATAGTTGAAAAATTCTGCTACTACCTTCCCTTCGATATCGTTAGAGCCACTTGTGGTTGACACTTAAACTCATCACATGAATTGAGTTGGCCACACAATAAATCAGCACCACAAACATAACGAATTGCACTATTCTAAGTTTTATTTTACTTAAAATTAATATACAAAATCATAATTTATTAAAAAAAACTATATAAGGTTGTACCCTTAAAATGTAGAAATAAGGTAAGGTGCACCTATAAAATCCATCGTAAAAGACTATTTTGAAGTTATAAACCCTCTAATTGATGATTTCCATATCAAAATGTATGAATATGAAAAAATAAAATAAAATTTAAAGTCTCAAAAATAGTACATCTTGCATCACATTATCTGGACCATCCATTTTCAATTTTTTTTTATGTGTTTATAGATCTACTTGATTCCATTTTTTTTGTTCTAAAATTATGTAATTAGAGATGAAAATAGATTTTCATGACATCCAATGAATTTTTTAGGTCAAAATTACATCTTATGATAAATTTTGATGGTACACCTAACTTTGATTGTTTAAAGTTTAAACCTTTGGTAAACCACACCCTCATTACTCATTATAAATCTTCTAATTTATTTTAAAAGAATTGAAATCCACATACAGAGCACATGGACTATGCTAATAAGTACTAAATTAAAATACCTACCATCATATAAACCACACACTAAAGTTTTTCTATACATTCATATATTTTTATAATTTTTAAAAATTATTTGAAACTTGTTGACCACAATAGAGGTGATAAGCCTGTATCGAGACTGATTCATCAGCGGAGAGTGCATTAAATCCCCACCACATCGACCCCGCATCACGCATTACCAGATACTAAACAAACTTGAATTATAAAAAAAAGAAAGTATATTGAGCCTAGGCTCTAAACAATCAAATTAGAGCTTACCTCAAAACTTTTACTAGAATATGTTGTTTTGATGCTCAAATATAATCAATTTGATCATCTCAACATCAAGATGCATAGATATGCAAAAAAAATAGATTTCAAGATTTTCAAGTTTAATAGATATGCTCAATCTACATTATTTTTTAAGCTTTAAATTTTATAACTAAAGATAAAAAAATAATGTAAGGCTATCACAATACTTTCCAGTATTAAAACCATATTTCTTAAGGCCATTTGAAAGTGGGCTCTAGTTTGATTGTTTAGAGCCTCGGCTCTATACAAACCGCACGTAATGGACTAGCTGTCTGATGCTTGGTACACCTATGCTACAAGCGTCCTTTCATTTCCATGTTAATGACTTTACAAATGGGCAAAATTTTAAAGATTTCAACTCATTTGGATATTTTGATAAATTCTCTAAAAATCAATTCCTCATGTTTCAATGTTTTTGTTTCGAATCAAATATCGCTGGGGTAGATTGCCCAAGCACTGATTCTAATTTGGATAGCCAATTTTGTCAATTAAATTGGGCAAAAAATAAAGTAGAAAAAGTTTCATATATTTTTTGATAGTTTAAGATATTTCAAATTAAAAAAGCATAGATGTAAAAATAAGTTTTAGCCATTTTGCACATAAATGACATATATAGGGCCAACATAGCAATTCAATTCAAGAATTGAGCAGTTGACCAATGATTCTCAATCTAGACAAGCGATTTTTTATTGATAAAAAACAAAATGAGCGATTTGAACTTCAAAAAGTAGCATGTATTATTTATTTACTAGAGTGGTATTTTTAGGAAAATGGGGTTGGGCTTGGGTTTGTGGTGTTGGTACCTCTTATGCTCTAACTAAAGTCTAAGCTTCCATTCTCACCTAATGCATTAAAAAAAGAGGAGATATTTCTAATATTTTTCCAACATTAGCAGATAGTGGCATTTTTAGCATACGTCTTTGTCTTTGGATTATAAAGAGAGTTTATGTGATCAAGATTAATTGTGACCACTTATACTCAAGGTAAGTGGTCTCATTATATATATATATATATATATTGAGTAATTATCTTAGGAGATCATCTCACATTCATGTGTGTAGGATTATAAAAGATCACCATTAAATTTGATACAAATTTCTAAAAAAGTTATCACATAGTTTTTTTAGAGATCTGCATCAAATTTAATGATGATTTTCTGGAGTCCTACGCACATGAGCGTGGAAAGGTCATTACTTTTTTTTTTTAATATATATATGTCAATTGGAAAAACCAAACAATGACTCGCTAAAAAATGTGAAGTTGATAACGGACATTTGCGATGAAAGAGGGGTAAAAAAGTGACAAGAGCACAACTGCTATTTCCTCTAAAAGTTAGGGTTGTTGGCGTGTCCAGCCATCATAAAAGAGGCTCTCCTCTCTCCTTCAGTCCGGCACTCCAACGCGCACCGCCATGTTTGCTCTCATCTCTTCCCTATTCGCGACAATAGCATGGCGAGCCAGACTCGGGTTCCAGGCACCTGCCGACGACTCCACACTCCTGTGGAGGGAATTATGGCGGGATCATTTTCACCATGGCTACTACGACACACATGCCACCCCCTCATTGGCCGACCACCGCCTCTCCCAAACTCGGACGATAGATGAGGCTCTCGCTTTTGCTGGCATAACCGGTAAATATCCAAAAATTAAAAGAACAATTTATTTTCCTCTTTTTTTTTTTTTTCTTTTTTCTTTTCCTTCCTTTTTTTTCAGAGGGGCAAGAGCTCCATTTTCTTATGGTTTTTCTGGGTGTATTCATGGATTTATTTAACAATGATTGTGAGAGTAAGAATGAGAGCTTACATCTCCCATCCGTTGATTTGGAGGGCAGGCCATCTGTGCCGTTGATTTCTCTTTTCTTATCTTTGGCTCTCTCTAACTCTTCTTAAACCCAAATTTTGGCTCAAATCATGATTTGAATTTCTTTATATATGGTATGAAGTCTTTTTTGAAAAGAAAATAAAGCCTAACCTCAAGTCCACGTTCGGAAAGCATTTTCGGCTTTCGAAATCTTTAAGATAGCTCTAAAATTAATTTGAAACTCAAAACACGGTATAAATCGTAGGGATATGTGACCGCTTAGTTTTAGAGTAAAATAAATGGTCCACATGATTAGTTGCAATATACATTATTTTTAAAATTTAAAATCCTAATTTTTTTACAAAACCATAATGTTCAAGCTGAAATGATGGATTTAAAGGTTTTTCAACGCTCGAATTGTAATTTTTGATGAGTTATATAGTGAGGGTTTACTTATTTTGAGGGAAACCATTTTCCTTATATATAAAGGTGTAATGTGGGGGTTTAAATTTTAATGTGAGATTAATAAAGTTAGTGTTCGTGGGCGTTTGGGTGTTGTACAGATGATGAGTCAACGTGGCCAAGGACTGTAATAGATGTTGGGTGTGGGGTTGGGGGCAGTGCAAGATATATCGCTAAAAAGTTGGGGGCGAAATGTGAAGGTATCACTGTTGACCCAAATCAGGTTAAGATCGCTAATGACCTTGCCCTTGCTCAAGGCCTCGCAGACAAGGTATGGGATGTCGATTTCACTTCTTCACTTAACAAAACAATTTCATGCTTCAACCAATTTGGAAGAAGATTTAATACAAGTATATCAAAATTTATTAAAATTAAAAATAATAAAAACAACAATTATGTGCTTCCGTCAAATTAAAGCCTACCTCCAATTAGTATCGAGAAATGCGGTTTCAATAATGAAAATCTTTGTGATAGCCTTAAAATATATTTCATCTTTATTTATAAAGTTTAACTCTTCAAAAATAGTGTAGATCAATAGATCCATGAAAACTTAAAAATCTTGAAAATTGATGGTCTAAAAATGCTGTACAAAATACACTATTTTTAAAACTTGAAGTCCTTCTTTTTTTTTTTTTTTTTTTCATATCTATGCATATTGATGTCGAGATGATCAATTTGATAATATTTGAACATCAAAACAACTTCTTCTAATAAAAGTTTTGAGATAGATTCAAATTTGATTGTTTAGGGTCTCGACTCTATATAAACTCCTCCCAAACTTAAATGAACTCATCAATCACAGTGTTAACGCTAATTTTTTACAGTATTTTATTTTTAATTTATTCTAGAAAACGTTTTGACACCAAAATTTGTATGCTCGCTTAAACTCACACGTGAAAAAAATATAAAATAAATATTTTCAATAAAATAAAATGTCCAAAATACCTTTAAAAGTTTCAAAAATATTTTTTAAAAAATTTAAAAATAAAATGGTATGAAACGTAATATCTAGATCAAACTGTCAAATTCCTCAAAATTGGAGGAAGTAAACCTATTTGTCCACACCCGCCCACGCCACTTCACGTGTTCACTCAGTTAGTTCAAAAAAGTGTAAGGCACAGTGGCCTACCCCTTCAACTCCAGCTGTTCATTTAATGCACTATTTTAATGCATTATAGCATCATTTTAATGCATTATAGTATCATTTTAAGGATGGGTGTGGATTTTATAATGCGTTATTTTAATGCATTATAGTATCATTTCAAGGATGGGTGTGGATTTTATAAAGTTGCGACCTTAAACAATTCAATTGAGGCGCATCTCCAAAATTTTATCATGTAAAAAAATCTTAGGATTATTTGAAAGCTTATTTTTATATCTAATAATAAAATTAATTTTTTTAAAAAAATGATTAAAATCAAGTAGATCTATAAATATATGAAAAATTTGAAAATAGACGTTTTAAATAATGTTTTGCAAGATTTACTATTTCTGGGACTCAATTTTTTTATTTTTTTTCATATTCATATATCTCCATCTCGATATCGAGATGGTCAAGTAGATAGTTTTTCAACATTAAAACAACCTTTTCCGATGGAGTTTTGAGGTGCATTTGTGATTCTACATTTTAAGGTTGCAACTTTATACAAACTTTTTCTTTTTAGGAATAATAACACTAAAAACTTAGAAGAATATGAAACTTATTTATGAACCAATCTTCATAACCAACACAACATTAGTCTCATATATTTTATCTTTTAATTTTTTAAATTTTGATATCATTATTTTCTATTTTGTAAGGAAAAAATATTTTTTGAATATTTTTTTTTAATGTCATAACATTGAAACCTATAAGGGATTTTATTTTTATTTTTAATCATATTATATGGAAGTGTTCGCTAATATTTTTTGAATCGTGTTTAATTATAATATTAAAATTAATAATTATACGTCGATAACCAAATCTTGTATTTTATTTGTTAATTTATTTACATTATAAATTATAGGGTGTGGTTTCTATAAGGTTGCAATCTTAAACAATCCAATCAAGGCCCACCTCCAAATTTTATCATGACATTAATTTTGTTATAAAAAATATTAGGACTATCTTAAAATCTATTTTTATAACTAATTAGAAAATTTTAAACTCCAATAATGGTTAAAATCAAGTAGATCTATAAACATATGAAAATCTTGAAAATGGATGATCTAGATAATGTGTTGCAAGATGCACTATTTATGGGGCTCCAATTTTTTATTTTTTTCTATTTTTTTTTTCATATTCATATATCTCGATGTCGAGATGATCAATTAGAGGGTTTTTCAACATTAAAACAACATTTCCGATAGATTTTTGAGGCGCATATGTAATTCTACATTTTAAGTGTGCAACTTTAAATAAACTTTTTCCTAAATTATATAATATAGTATTTTTTGTTATAGTTGCAAATAATATTTTTTTTTTTAAAATTAGATGATATTATAAGACAAAATTTAAATTTATTTTTATTTGTGTGATAAATTATTTTTAATGCTATATATAAGTCATAATTATACATATATCTAAACAAGAAAACAATGTCTCATTATTCACATATTTTTGTAAATAATGAAACTATATAATGTACCACTCCTAATTTATTTTAGAAACTAAAACAATACTATTTTTATAATGATTTTTGAAAAAAAATTGGGGCAAACTTGTCGATTCACCGATCCGACCCCCGATCCACCGATCTGACCCCCGATCCACCGATCTGACCCCCGATCCACCGATCCGACATGAGTATGGGTGAGGACGATTTGGGTCACCAATCCGTTTTTTTAAACCCTGGGGGTGAGTAATAGCCCGATCTGGGTCTAAAACCCGGATTCGTACCTTATTCGGATCCAAGTGTGGACCCAAAATTTGGATCCGAAATCCAGATTCAGATCCGAAAGTCTGGGTTCAGATAGATCCGATCCAAATCTGATCCGGATCAAAATCCAACCCAATTTTTCTTTTTAATAGTAAATTTTTATTGTATATATATATATTTAAATAGTATATATATAATCCGTATTCGGTTCTAGATCCGATGTATATTATTCCGATTCGAATTTAGATTCGGATCCAATGTATAATATTCAGATTTGGATCCAGATCCAAATATCCAAAATTCGGTTTGAACTTGGATCCAATCTGAATCTGATATATACTATTTAAATCCGGATCCGGACCCAATCGGACCTCTCTCAACCCTTCAATTGATGATGTCGAATTTAAGGTTCATAACTTGGCCTGTTTGTTTCTTTTCTTTAAATGACTGTTGCGTTTTGGACTTTTGTAAACCTCTTTTTGTTTCTTTTCTTTAAATGACACTTGCGTATTGGACTCTTTTGTGAACCTCAAATGATTGACAGGCCACTTTCCATGTTGCTGATGCAATGGATCAGCCTTTTGCCGATGGGCAGTTTGACTTGGTTTGGGTTATGGAGAGTGGTGAGCACATGCCTGATAGGAAAAAGGTTATGTTCCTTAATACTATCCTTTTCATTCTCTTATTCTTCCTTTTAACTCCCTCTTTGTGCTATGTTCTATGTTTGATTTTGCACCTCATGGTTTCTCTATATGTTCTTTCTGAGTTCAATAAGTTACTATGTTGGTCCCGATTCTGGGGGCATTCATCTTTTGATTTTGGCTTTTTTTCTTTACTTGTGAATGACCAAATTCATTGAATCTGTTTCCTCTATTAAAATTTGAATGCTTTTGCATTTTTCAAACAGTTTCATTGGCATTTGAAGTTAGTTTGAGATCAAAATCCAAGGTCTTAATTCAAACTGTGGTGGATAAGTTTTGTTTAATGTTTTGGGTTACTGTCATGGTTGATCAATGGTTGCGCACCTATTTATTGTCAAATAGAAAATCCCATCTTTGTTTCTAGCCGTTGGATGTCCCCATCCAAGTTTGATTGGAGTTCTTAATAGAGGACAAATCAGTGTAGTGTTTTTATCTATCACCTTTTCGAAAGCGTCACTGAGGCTCAAGCGGTACTATCACTACAACCTCAACCCATTCCCTTTTTGTCTCTCACCTTTACGTGTGAACCAAAGAGAGGCACAATGCTTCACAACGCTAGGTTGTATCCTGGTGGTATCCTTGTCAAAGACCAATTGTGCATTGAGAAATCAAGTAGGGCATTCAATGCCTTGAATACATCAAAATATTTTGTACCCTCCTGGTCCAAATCAAGCAAGGCCCGTGTTAGGTTTTTGCTTGTTCAGCTTTGAAGTTTGTTTCGATCATGACTTAATGTTTTTTCTACCTTGTTGGAATTCTTGCCACGGTAATGCATTTGACTATGTTCTAGCTGTGGTTGACTTGAGAGTTTCATGCGATGTGCGCTTTATGCTCAGTCTTATTGCTTCATAAAACCATACTTCATCCAGCTGTTTTTCCTGCCGTTGAAAACATAAACTGAGCATTTATTGTGCTTAAACAGTCATGCTATAGTTGACTATTAACATGCTATAGTTGACTATTAACATCATCATTATCATCAGAGCCTTATCCCAACTATTTGGGGTCAGTATAATGTAGATTCAAGATTCATGAAAAGTTTCGGTAAAGTTTTATGCTGGCTGTCTACCTAACATAACTCTACTCTCCTCCTTTACTTGGACTTGGGACCGGCATATGACTGGTAAGGGCCGGCCAAGGTGGAGTTCTACAGTTCACTATTAACATTGTGGTTAAACACTTAATCACGATGTTTTCACTGCAATTAACAATTCATTCTGCAGCTGGCATTTTTACCATAGTTAAAAAAAATTTATCGATATTTCATGGTTAACACTTAATACTACATGAGTTTTTTTACTGTAAGTGATAGCTAAACTAAAATCTCACCACATTAAATGTTTTTCGCCACAGTTAACGGTCCTTACTATGGTTAAGTAGAATTCCCACTATGTAAATGATTCTTGACACGACTGTGTCCACTACAGTAATTTAAGAGTTCAGACGCTCTTCTTTTGATCTCTTGATACTCAGTTCCTTGATTCTTTATGCATCCGTTATTTTGAGGCTAAAAGATCCAAAATCTGGCTTTTTAGGACCCCGCAAACAACATTTTCTACCATAGTGTATATCAATTAACAACCTAACAACATTTTCTACCATGGTGTATATCAATTAACAACCTTGTTATTTCTTTTCATTTCAAATGTCCATTTGAGATGTTATTTTGCAAGAAACCACAGGCCAAATTATAATTTCATGATTATTTCTACTCTACGTTTAGAGGAGTAACATTGTACTAAAGAGCATGAATCTTCGGTAGTGAAGGCTTTATCATTGATCATTTTAAGGAACTATGGAATAGCATAATGCAAGGGCATCTACCATGAAAAATGAATGTGTTTCTTCACATAAATGTAGCAAACAAAACCCAGGATCGTTATTCTTAATTTTTGAGTACTTTAGTGGTAGGAATCAAAACTTGGAATGTAGTTTTGCAATCATGGATAACTGACCAAGCAAACCCAGGCCTGAATACTGAAAACTCAGGATCTCATGTGTCCTCTGCAAGATGGGACTTTTGTTTTGTACCAAGTTCATCCAGAAGGTACTTGCTATCCAACATATTGTCCTCAAGCAGGCACCTCAAGCTTGTTTTGAGAAATTTGGTCATTTCCTGGGGTTTAAGCTAAAGGATGCTGCAGTGAATGATCCTTGTTCTTAAGAGCTCTTTGTCACAGAACCTTTCCACGGTCCTACCTGTGTTTATGATTACATTATTATGGGAGATGTCAAAGATGGGATGTAGTTAACAATTAACCAGAGCATGCGAACACGAGAGACAGAAGGAGGTTCACTACCTTGGATAAATTTTGAGATGAGGAGCGTTTTTGAGTCTAAGGATTACTTGTGGGATAGAGATTAACAGATGAAGATGGCCATGCATCTCAAAATAGGTATTCGTTAGCACCACTTCGCCAGCAAATTTATAAAACTGCAAACACCCGTTGCAGTAACAAATTGTAGCTTGAGGATCTTGTAAATACATGCAAGCACCTAACAACCTTGTAAGTTCTTGGATGGTCTCATGGGTGTACTAGATGAAATGGTTGGCTTGTGTTCTAGAGGCCTAGATGCCTGGGTTCATGTTCTATATGGTAAATGGTCCTATATTGACTCATTGTGTTCCACTAAGATTCCCAACTCCTAGTATGGCCTATGGCGAGAAGTAAAGGCCTTGTTAACATTGGAAACAAGAATCGAGTATTGAGGCATGAGCACCATAGCTACAAAGAATCAAGATGATTCGTTGATAAATGAGGCTTACCAACTGGAGTTACATTCTTTTTTTTGGGTAGTTCAGTGGGGATGGGGTCCCTACCTGTAGTAGGAATAGAACTTAAGACATTATGTTGTGGCGACCCACCACCCTGACCGCCTAGTCTTGAACCCATCCTAGGAGATAGGAGATACATTCTTATGATGTGATAAACAAGGTTCAAAATACCGGAGCTGCTGAGGTCCTAATCCATATAGTACAATAGTGGCCAATATATCAGGGTTTAAGACAGAATAATAAATTGATAACTAATTTTTGCATATAACAGGCAACACTCGAAAGTATTTGGATGTAATGGACTTTCTGATAGATATAATGGTGCTTTTTTTTCCATTAATATATCTAAGAAATAATGGGCTTGTAACATATATGATCCACGACTGTTTGTACAATGCCAAAATGTAATGGTCCCCAACAAGGCAAAGCACGTAGATGTGTGGTGGCCTATTTGTTCTCAGGTGAGCAGTTTCAAAGGAGATTAAGGCAGATCACTTGCCATCCTTCCGAGTAAGCACCAGCCTGGTGATAGAAGAGAATTTTTAGTCAAGCTAGGATCGATATCTTGTATGCTCCACTTGGGGGAGATAGTTTTATGTGTGTGCTTCTTCAATGCTTCATAGAGAGTGACAACCTTCTCTTCATTTGGTTTCAATTTACAGTTTATGAGCGAGTTGGTCAGAGTGGTGGCCCCTGGAGGCACCATTATCATTGCGAGTTGGTGTCACAGGGATCTGTCTCCTGATGAAAAGTCGTTGCGTCCTGACGAGCTACATATCTTGAATCGAGCGTGCAATGCTTATGAAATTCCTGCCTGGTGTTCAATGGCTGATTACATCAACTTGGCCCAGTCCTTTTCTCTCCAGGTACATACATGCATACATATCGCTATGCTACTCACTCAAATAAATAAAGTTGCATATGCGTATTTGAGGATGATTAATCTTCCACTCCTACTTTCTCTTCTCAGTAGAAATACCAAATTTATACCCCTCTCTCTCTCTCTCTCTCTCTTTGCAGGATATCAAAACAGCTGACTGGTCCGATAACATAGCCCCGTTCTGGCCAGTAATTTTACGCTCCTCCTTCACTTTTGATGGCCTCACCTCGCTCTTTAAATCTGGTAAGATTCTCATTTCTAAATTCTTGTTCTTTCCCCAAGAATCATTTCTTCAAATGGTTCACAAGACGTTGCATGTGGCACTTTGCATATTGTTCAGTAGATAATTTTTCATTTATATAGGAACTGGTTTATCCTCATCCGTGGTCTTTAACAAGGGGAAAGCATTTTGTAAGGCCATGGTTTTATGGAACTGTATCACAAATCTCCCCAAAAAATATGGTTTCAATGCTGGATAACTTGCAAACATATCATCTCAGCCTCAAGCAATCATGGATATGGAAAAAGTAATGAATCCAAAGTCCTCAAAATAGTCTATCTACTATTCAGAACTGTTTATTTCAAGTGTCTGCAGATCTGTTAGATCTAGATCATTTTTGGAACTTGAAAAATTCAATTGTTAGAGGTGGAATAGATTAGCACATTGTTATAAGAGTTTCTAGCATTGGAACTGCATTTTTCCAATAGGGTTTCAAGGTTCAACTTTTACCAAATATCAGTAAGCCACTACGGCCAAAGCCCTACAAATTCTCCTCCATTTACCTTTTGTACAAGGATGTCACAATCATTTTCGTGTTGTAAGATTTCATAATGGGTGGTTGTAAGAGTGTCATTGATTAGATATAACGTTCCAAAAAAAAAAAATTTCAAACTCTTTAACTCACCCTAAACCATCCAGTTTGACATCTAATGAGTAGAAATAGTTGTGTCCTCTTGTACAAAAGATGAAATGTCTCTTTATGGACAATCCCTTTATGAATATGAATCATGAATAAAGAAATTTGTTTCCTGTACTAAATCTTTTTTTTTATTGCAAATAGGATGGAAAACCATTAAACTTATCCTTGGATTGAGTGTGCTGAAAGAGGGTTACGACAAGAAGCTAATCAAATTCGCAATTATGACATGTCGAAAACCCGAGTGAACACCAACAGCAGCTTGCCGGAGTGAACACCAACAGCAGCTTGCCGGAGTGCACACCAACAGCAGAGAAGATCAGAAAAGAACCATCGTTGTCAGCTATTTTGAATTTTTCGAACTCTAGGGTCTCTGCTTTCGCTTCAAGGTGTACTACAATAAGCCACATTGTCTATATTCAAATGATCGTGGGAATTTCCAGTTTTCATTACAAAATTTTCCACTTTTCCTATTCAAATTGAATGGGTAAAATGAATATAAAGCGCGTGGAGAGCAGATGGGGAAATTGCAGTATATCTCGATGACTGTCACAAGACTGCCGGTAATCGTAAGTTGGTAACAAGCAAAGTAACACCAATTTGTCAATAAAAGGAAATTGACTTCATGTTATGATAACATTCGGAGGTGCGTCTAAATTGGATTGGAGTCTGTCCATTTTCAAGATTTTTATATATTTATAGATCTTCTTGATTTTAGCGGTTGGAGTTTAAAATTTTATATTTAAATATGAAAATAGATTTTGAGATAATCTTAAGAAATTTTTACACCAAAATTTCATGTTATGATATCATTTGGAGGTGTGTCTTGGATTGTTTAAGGTTGCAACCTATATATATAGGTAGAAAAGATCATGTCAGACAATGGCCAGATTGAATTTGAGTTCATCTGACGGTTATAATTTTATTTTATGTTTGAATTTTCAATTTTTTTTTAAATCCAAATCACTTGAAATTTGGAGCGTCTATTTTTTAACAATAGAATAATATAATAAAAATATATAAAAAAATAATTCGTAAAATATAAATTGACCAAAATACTCTTAAAATGTTTTAGGGGTATTTTGGTTAATTTATATTTTGTGAATTATTATTTTTTCCATTCTTATTAGGTGCGCTTTGATGAGAAGAATGAACGCATAAAATTTCAAGTGATTTGGATTTGTTAAAAAAAATATATATAAATTCGAATACGAAATGAGTAACTATCAGATTAGCCTAGATTGAATCTGGACCACTCGCTGACACTGTAGCAGTCAGTCAGTGGGTTGATAGAATCCACTATATATATATATATATATATATATATATATATATATATATATATATATTATTGTATTGTATGTATTCATATAGTAGTATGTATTCTTATTTTACTTTTTAATTTGCTAGTTGGTTGTTTAGTAATACG